TGTTAACTTGTATTTGTCTCTTTTCACCTCAGACCTGATGGCACTGAAAGAGGAGAGTCAAGAACTGAATGAAACAGAAGAGAAAGATCAAAATGAGAAACATCATGATTTCAAAACTGAAGAAAAATCAGTTAGTTGTTCACAGATTGAAAAGACTTACTCACCAAAAAAAGCTCAAAAAACACAAACTACAAATCTTAAATCTATTATGAGAACTGACACTGAAGAGAGACCTTTCACCTGCCCTCAGTGTAGAAAGACTTTCACGCGTAACGAAAACCTGAAGATTCACATTAGAGTTCACACCGGAGAGAGACCGTTCAAATGTGGTCAGTGTGGAAAGAGTTTCAGTAAAAAGGCAACCCTTAAAGCCCACATGAGAATTCACACTGGAGAGAAGCCTTTCACCTGCAAACTGTGTGGAAAGAGTTTCAGTAAAAAGGCAACCCTTAAAGCCCACGTGAGAATTCACACTGGAGAGAAGCCGTACACCTGCAAACTGTGTGGAAAGAGTTTCACGCTTAAAGGAAACCTAAACACTCACATGCGGATTCACACTGGACAGAATCCATTCACATGTGATCAGTGTGGGAAGAGTTTCAGATATAATGTAAACCTTAATTATCACATGAGAATTCATTCAAGAGAGGACCGTTTTAAATGTAATCAGTGTGAAAGTTTCACAGAGAGGGAACATCTTAAGAAACATGTTAAAATTCACATTGGAAAAAAGTCTTTCATGTGTCATCTCTGTGGGAAGAGTTGCTCAACCGGAGGAAACCTCAAGACTCACTTGAGAATTCACACTGGAGAGAAACCTTTCACCTGCGAACAGTGTGGAAAGAGTTTCAGTCAGAAAATAACCCTTCAGCTTCACATGAGAGTTCACACTGGAGAGAAACCTTACAGGTGTCTTCAGTGTGAGAAGAGTTTCACAAGTCAAAAAAAACTGAAAGGTCATTTGTCAACTCCTTCTGGGAAGAAATTGCCATTTTCCTCAGAGTGACGACAGGTTTAGAAAAAGGAGCGATTTCTACAATCATCAGTTCACAATTCAGTTGTGGTCAGTGTAATAAAAACCTCTTTTTTTTACCATCACACTTACAGAAACATGTGAAAAGTCATGCAAATGTGAGACCCTGTTTGTTTTTTGTTAAAGAGTGAAAAAAAAAGTGCTACATCTGATCGTCATTTTCATGACTACGTTTACTTCTATTTGCATCCTTCATTTCTTTATACTTCACCATAAATGTTTTTTGTGTGTGTGCATATGTACTCTTGTGGCCATACTGATTGTCATCTTATTTTCGACTATGTAGAGTTGTCACTCAATTCCATGTATTGATTCCTCTGAATCAAAATGCTATGCTGTGTTCAAAATTGCATACTATCACACTACTCTTACTATCTCTGCAGTATCCAGTATGTATACTGTGCATAGTATGCAAATTTTCTGTATGCAGGGAATACCTGGATGACCTACTATATTTGCCAGAATCTGTGAAATATAACTCAAGTACACTGAAATCAGTACAGAAGCTGTGTTGGGAATGGCACACTACCATACAACTCCCACTATATTGCAGTATGCAATGTGTATTCTGTGAATATTATGTGAATTTTCTGTATGCATAGAATTGTTAGATTTTGCTGTATTTGGCTGAGCAGTAGTTTGGGTGGCTCGCCAATGTACTAGATTTCTCTAATACATAAAATAAGTAAGTTTGACCAGAGTTCTTGTGGGGAGAAGAATTTATTGAAGGCAGTACCTAGCACATAGCAAAATTGGTTCGGCCCAGTGATGGGCCACACAACCCACTTCCACTTGGCCCATATTCAGCAATGAATTACGGTACATGACTGGACCAGGTCTGGTTGCCAGAACTTTGGCCCATGGCATAGCCATATCTCAGCCAAATGTATGACTATAGCTGGCCCTATTCTGGGCCTATTTAGGACCAAACAATTGGTTCCACATGTCAGCCTCAATAAAACCTTGATCTAGCCACCTTATACACACCCTTGGCCCAGATGAAAAATGCCTGAACAACAACAGTATTCTGAAAAAAGATTTATTGTTTCACATTTAAACAAAACAATTAACAAAAAACAAACACAAACAAAAAACAATGCTTGAATGTCAATGCCATGTTTCACACAGCTCTTGAACATCTATGATTCAGTTCATGAACAAGCGGCACTGTGCACACAACATTTTAACTTCTGATTCAGTTCATGAACAAGCGGCACTGTGCACACAACTCTTCAACATCTGATTCAGTTCATGAACAAGCAGCACTGACCAACTCTTGAACATCCAAACAAGTCGCAAGTCCGTTAACCTGTTGTACTCTCCTGATGCTCTTTTCTCTTCATCCTCTCTCTCCTGCCACCATCCCTATCCGGGGCCAGATATAGCCATCTTTTGATGGTGGAATCAATGTCCTTTTCTGTGGCCGCAGACGTCAGGCAGTTACGCCTCACAGCCGCTGAAACATACATGTAAACATGGTTCGAAATTAGATTCTGTATCAAAATCTAGTGTGGCTTTTGGATTTTAAAGGACAATTACATTAAAACTGAACCCAGAACCTATTGACAGACATTCTGTAACATCTACACATAGAGACTGTAAATTGATGCAGATCAGTTTAGTAATGAGCTGGCACCATCCTCCTACCAGGTTCCAATATGTCTCCAGGAGAAAACCAGTCTAAGCAGTTGCTTTTCACAGAGCCATGTGCAATTCAATAAGTACAGATATACGACTGCACTTTTTAAAAAAGTCTCTGCCTTAGTGCAATGCTATGATCGGTTCAACACCATTTGTTCAGCAGAAAATAATAAGGACAGTATGAATCATGTGAACCAGTCATGTATGTCTACACTTTCGATTTAAACTGGTCTATGCATGTATATATCACACCAGAATGTCCCGGGTTCAGTTTTAGTGGAATTGTCGGTTACACTATGTTTTATGGTGTCCTTGTTACACAGTGTAATTGTTCATTTAAGAACAGAGTAATATTATTTAACAAGTACTTACTATAGTGTTAGTATTAGGGTTTGGTTTAAAGTTACTGCATGTAACTATTCACAATTAACTGTTATTATTACAGTAAGTACATGTAACATGCAGCAAGGACACTGTAAAATAAAGAATAACAGACTTGTTTTTCCTCTCCTCTCCTCTCCCCTGCTCACCACCTCTTATCTACCTCCTCCCTTCTCTGCATACCTTCTTCCTGTCCCCTCCTCTCATCTCTTTTTTTTCCTCATCCCCCAATTTCTCCACTCTCTCCTTTTCCTCTGCCCTTTTTTCTCCCTCCCCCTCCCCCTTTCCATCCCTCCTCTCACTCATTTCCTCATCTCATTCTCCTCTGCTTTCTTCCTCTACTCCCCTTGTAACCTGAATTATCAATTTAAATGAATTTTGATTATTCTTAAACACTTAAACCACTCTTATGGCATAAAGTACAACTTACCAATCACAACATCCCGTAAACGTAAGCGCTGGAAACCAATTTTTCTCCTGAAATCATAATGAATTATTTTTTTTTTTTTTTAAGCAATGGTTTAATCAATCATGAAATACTATGAATACTATAGGTGACACTGTTAAAAAAAAATGTACGTCATTTTTACCAAATTACATACGTCTGTTAGAAAAGATGAGCATTTTGATGTAACTTTGTCTGTATTTGTTCATCCAAGCACAAAAAGAAGCAGAAGAGAACTCAATTCAGTATTTGCGTGCATCTGAGATGTCTGTGTGTGAGTGCTTTGGATGTGTGCGCACAGAAAAGCGGCTTTACTGTCCCACATTTAACAGGGTAAGTGCCACCACAAATAGAGTGTAAGTCTGTGGAAAACACTGAAGCTAGTCACCTCAGTTTTAGGAAATGTGATGATATGCCAACATACCAACTGTTTCCGGAGGTCAGGATTACTATGCAGTTGTTCCTCCATGTCCTGAAGGGAACTGACATCTTTAAGTGGCAACAAATTTCGATCCAGGTCTGTCTCTGACTCATCAGCCGATTTCATACTCTGCAGGGTCTTGAAGATGATTCGCAGTTGGTCCATCATCATTTCCTGTTTTGTTAATATATTATGCAGGAGGGCTAGGAAGAAAACAAGAAAGACAAATATTAGTTTTCAGTCACTTTAATTAGGTAAACACTGACCATTTGCTGGTATTGTTACTATTTCTTACTAAAATTGTATTCCAATGCAAGTCAAATTTGCAAGTTAACATGCCAAACAACTAAAATTGTGGATTAATCACCGTCAGGACTATTCTGTATCATCACAAATTACAACATCTCAACAAAACATTCTTGAGATATTAATTTTTGGAAGTTGTTGGCACAAACATACATACATCTAAGTTTTAACTTTTAGTCATTTTTGTATAAGAAAGCGTAAGAAACAATATGAAGTAAAAATAGCTGAAGTAATTTGCCAGAGAAAAAAAAAATACTAAAAACAAACATAACTATAATAAACATTAATATACTCACATGTTTGCAAATTAGATGTCTGCTCCCTGGTCTGGTGTGGCTCAGTATGCTTTGATGGGACTAGAGAAGGTGCAGCGTGGCTTGGTCTACGGATCTCAGAGCTGGCATGACTTGGTCTACCTATCTCAGTGCTGGTGTTGCTTGATGTGTGGATCTCACTGCTGGCATGCCTTAATGGACGTATCTCAGGGCTGACGTGCCTTGATGTACAGCGCTCAGTGATGATGTGCCTGCTATGGTCTCTTGGGTTGAGCTCAGGACTGCTGTCGTCACTTTGGTAAAGCTCAGGACTGCTGTGGCCTCTTCGATGGAGGTCAGGAGTGCTGTGGTCTTTTGGGTGGAGGTCAGCAGCACTGTGGCCTTTTGGGTGGACCTGAGGAGTGCTGTGGTCTTTTCGGTGGACGTCAGCAGTGCTGTGGTCTTTTGGGTGGAGCTTGGGGCTGTTTTGCTTTCCTGGGTCTAATGCAGGAGTGTTGTGCTGCCTAGCGATCTTTGGAGCACTGGGCAATGAATACTTTCCTCTCAAATGTACAAAACATGTTAGTCCTTTATTTGCTGTGATAAAATGCATTACATTTTTTTAAAAAATGCTGAAGCTTCTTACCTTATTCTTGACATTGTTCCTTCCATGTCATCATAGTGACAGTCAGGAGCACCATGGCCTCTTTGGTGAAGCTTGGGGCTGTTTTGCTTTACTGGTTCTAATGCAGGACTTTTGTGCTGCCTGACGATTTTTGGAGCATTGGGCAATGAATACTTTCTGCTCAGAAGTACAAAAGATCTTAGCACTTTATCTGGTATGGTAAAATACACTATAATTTAAAATGGCAGAAGCTTCTTACCCTTTTTTTGACTTTTTTTCTTTCACAGTGCTTTCCATCTCATCATCATCCTCTCCAGGGAAAAGATTGTTTTTAGGTCTAAGAACATATTTCATCATTTCAAGATATGCAATTATTAGTAAATGTTGTGCACCACCAATTAATTAAAAAAACAAAACAAAACAATAAAACACATTCTTCCCCCTACATTCTTCTTCTTTTAAATTTAATTGGTGAGTTCCCTCCATCACTTCCAATGTCAGTGTGATCAACAGCTTGAGGAAGTTTTCGTCTAGCTTCATTGTAGTCATCTGGGAAAGTAAATTGGGTAGAGGTCAGGAGTGCTGTGGCCTCTTGGGTTGAGCTCAGGACTGCTATGGCCTATTGGGTAGAGGTCAGGAGTGCTGTGGCCTCTTGGGTTGAGCTCAGGACTGCTATGGCCTATTGGGTAGAGGTCAGGAGTGCTGTGGCCTCTTGGGTTGAGCTCAGGACTGCTATGGCCTCTTGGGTAGAGGTCAGGAGTGCTGTGGCCTTTTGGGTAGAGGTCAGGACTGCTATGGCCTCTTGGGTAGAGCTCAGGAGTGCTGTCGTCACTTGGGTAAAGCTCAGGACTGCTGTGGCCTCTTCGATGGAGGTCAGGAGTGCTGTGGTCTTTTGGGTGG